GGCAGGCGGTCGGGCGGCGACGGCGGTGACGATGCGGAGGGCAGCGGAGTGGGAGCCGGCGACGGCGAGACTGTCCAGCACTTCCCGCTCGCGCGGCCCAAGTCCCTGATGCAGAAGCTCCAGTGCTCCTTCCAGACCGCCTGGCTCCGAGACTTCCCCTGGCTGCGCTATTCCAAGGAGACTGGCCTCATGTCCTGCGGCTGGTGCCAAAAGACCCCTGAGGACGGGGGAAGCGGGGACCTTCCTCAAGTGGGACACGACGAGCTTTCGCGAGGGACCCGTAACTACAAGAAAACCCTCCTCCTGAGGCACCACGTCTCTACCGAGCACAAGCTCCATGAAGCCAACGCCCAGGTACGGTATAGCCTGCCCCGGCTCTTTCAGATCCTTTAGGGAAAGGTTGGTCAGCCACAAAAGCCACTTTCCTGGGCGAACGCATCGTTCCATTCAGGCGACGTGCGAGGACCTTACGCGTGGGAGGGTAGAAAGAGCTTGGGAACAAGTTTTCAAAAGTTGTGTGTGACGGGGAGGGAGAGGGAATGACAATTTGCTAATTGTAGCGCTGATTTTTTTTTTTTTTAATGACTGAGATTTCTCTATCAGATTGAATTAAGAAGAAAGTTTACTAAAGCAAGGTTGGAGGTTTTAACCCTAAAAGGTTAACTTTGCGGTCAAAAATTTTATTAGCTGTGATTTTTGAAAAGCTGCCTTATGTTCAGAGTCTTAGCATGTTGGTGGAAGTCAAATCTGGCAACTCTTTGAAGAATGAATTGAACAATTTCCTTAACCTTTGACGCTACCCCGTTCAGGAAAACATCCTGCCTAGAAAATTCTTTATTTTAGGTCAGGATAATGTGAAATATGAGAACAGTATGTAAATGTAGTGGAAGCTATTTGCTTAACACACTTTTCTCTTGTGAATAATTTTACTAAATTCATCTCCGTTGAACTTGTTACATTTTATTTTTTAAGCAAAGGCAGGCTTTTGGTAGTTTTGTTTTTTTCTTGTTTCCTTCTACCCAGATTTCTGTGCTGAGATTTTATATAATACCCCCTTTTCAAAAAAGTCCAGTCGATATGGACTGGTGGACAACATACTTAACCAAACTCCTTGAAATCATGAGTCCTTAGTTACAAAACAAGTTAAGCTGTACTTTACTTCTTAGATCTTGTTTTAATATTTCCATTCTAGAGATCGTTGTCTTTGCCATTTGATAATCCCTTTTCAAGCCAAACAGATGTTGATCAGGTCTCCCTTAAGACTTAGACAACCTGTGGTGGTGGATGGAATTCATTCTTTTGTATTGGTAGCCAGTCATTGGTTTAGAAAGTCAACCTTCAGATATTAGTCTTTCTGTTTATTGGAGTGATCTTGCTGTTCAGAACACTTACATTGGAGTGAATTAGGCACTATCCAATAACCCCCGTGGCTCAGAAGTTTCTCAGAAGTTATGGCTTGAACTTTAAAGCAGGTTTATTTTTCCCGGTGACAGTGGCAGTAGTTTTGCACAAATTTTAGTTGCCTAAGCCCTAGAAAGAAGGTCACTTAAAGATAAAAGGCCCAGAAAGGTTAAGTAAATGGTCTTGAGTCCTTGGTGACAACTCAGACTAGAACCTATAAGGAATGTTGTAATGGCGAAAGAATGGGTTTCCAAGTAAATCTGGGTTAAGATCTCAGCTTTCTGCAATTACTAGTTTTGTGAGCTTGAGCAATGGCATGAAATAGAACATTTCCTTGTCTTCAGTATGCCAGACACATTTACTGCAAAATAATTATTTCGTTCTCATTCTACAGGAGTCTGAGGCTTCGCTTCCAAGGGTTAATATGTTTTTGATGTTATTGAGTAAGTTGATAGAATTAGGGGATTTGTGAAAATGAAAGTGTATTTTCTAAGTAATGGTGCACTGGTGACTTAGAAAAATTGAAAAAGACAATTAGAATGTATTTTCTTATATACAATGGACTAGTTACTCTTATCAGCATAGTCTCTCCCTGTAGGCAAATCTGAATGGGAATGCAAATTATAATTAGCTGCTTAGTGAACCTGAAATCAGAGGAAGGGGAATTAGTTGGATAACTTATGATAGACCTCTTATGGTGTATCTTTCCCCCAGGCACGGATCTGGATCAGGGAATTTATTCCTAGGTGAAACCTTTAATAAACTTGATCTTTGAATTATCCCTCCCCTCCGCCCCCTTGAAAAACTCCTTTTTTACAGATATAATCTACAGCCCATCTTAGGACATTTCTTTATTAGACAGGATTATACAATTTAGTTCGTCTAAGGCTATATTGGTCCCCTCGATTGGATTTTGAGTGTTTCCACTCTGAATTGACCCTAATCATTTCTCTATTTTAGTTCTAGCTAACTTCTGGGGTGTTACTTTGCTGTTGTGTGTACCTTGACCCCAGGTACCACCTACACTTCACTTTGTTATTTTATGAGTGACAGGTTCAAGAACTGGCTTATTCTAACTGTGGGCAGAGTTCAGTCATGTTTTTCCATTGTTCTGTAGCCTTTGATTACCTGCAGGAGGCAGTATAACAGTCTGCAAGCAAACTCTTGAGCTTAGGGTTAGGGGGACCTTACCCTCTACTTTCTTGGCAGGCAGATGAGTTAAAGCTTCTAGTTTCTTCAAATATGCAAAGTATATATGCCAGCATACAATCACTTAGTAAATGGTAACTATTCTTTTTTATCATTATCCCTATTTTCTTTGCAGATAAGTATAACAAGATTTGTTGTTTTCTGTGGCCTGCTATGTCATATCTCAGTGTTTCCAATTTTGTCAGTTTTGAAGCCACTTTATCTCACGGATCTGTTGATTCTAGAGAGCAAACTAGTTCTTTTCATACCTTCAGAGACTTTGACTATCCAGTTCTTTGAACATTCTGAGACTTTCTATCTGGCAGTAGCTTTCTCCTGTCTTAAAAATACTGAAATGAGAGTTCTGGAGTTTTTCAAACAAGGATTCAGTTTGAGGCTAGGAGCAGTTCACTCCCTTTATTACACACACACACTTTTTTAGGCCTGATTTTTGAGAAGAGTTTGGCCAAATCCTACTGTGTCACTAAGGGATACTTTTATGCTTTGTGTGAGAAAAATGCTTTTTCATTAATTGCAGGGTGGTGACCAAAACATTATAGCACGCTCAAAAAGTTTGATGTTCTTCTGTTAATTGGATGTTGGTTGTTGAGGACTGCTAACAGGAGAGTGTGCATAAGCTTTCAGAATCTGTTGTGGGCCTCCTACTTCAAAGAGATCCCTGTATGCTTTGTAAAGATGTGTGAGTGTAAGATGTAAGGGACAGCATAAAGTTTTTATTTTGAGTAACTACTGACTATATCTTTATAGAGTCAAGTTCAATAATTAGCACATACAGGATTTGACCATTTGGCCTAGAGGACTTTAAAATTGATTTAAAAACATTGATTACCACATATTTTGATTCAGATCACTTTCTACCCACTTGTGAAAATTTCATAGCCTAAATCACACATTCTGTCAACTCTTTATGGTTTACTAACCATAAACATGCACTCAGATGTATTATTATAAATTTAGTTAACCTTTCCAGAAAGTAAATACCGAATTCAGATCAGTGATCTGATTGAAATTACTAATTGGACTATATTGAGGTCAGCAACTAAAGCAAAGGTGAAAAAGACCTACCAGCCTACTTTGCCTTTGGCAAAAATAAGGCCCAGTGGTTTGTTTCCTTTAACAATTTAGGAAGAAAGTCTGAAAAACTTCGCTAAGAAGGAGAAGTATTAAAGATGAGCCTGCGGTCCATTAAAAAACCATTTTGTAGAATAATATTTATATAGTTGTAACATTCATTGTTTGATTCTGCAATCATTTATTGAAAAGGGCTATAATTCCAGTTAGGGAAGGAAATACTAACTACTTGTTGATTTTTAGCTAAATAGCATTTTTCTTATTTATGGATTGACTAGAGATAAGCTCACTGTTTGCAACTGAGGTTCTCTCTTCAACTGTCCCTCAGAAGGGCGGGAAGACTGCATGGCAGTCTAGATTTCTCTTCAGGTTGGTGGCAGGATCTCGCTCTCCAGGCGAGAATGCTGACTGCATTATGATTCTTCTCTCTGCACCCCCACAACCTAGTTAACCTCTCTGGTTCCGATTTGACCTTCCAGATCTTTCCAAACTCTGCTTCACCCCTGGCCTACCCCCACCCCCACACACATACTAACATCTGTCTTCCCTAGTTCCCTTCTTAGGAGTGTGTTGCACTATTAATTGTAGCTTTCCCTGGTCACAGTATCCCCAGTCTTCTATCTGCTAATCCAGTCAGATCACTTTGCTTCTAAAGCTCAGTAAGGCACCTATAGCAATGGTTCTTAATCTTGTTGGGGATTCCAATCTCTTGATAATCTGATGAACTATAGATGTTCACCTCCAAATGTTCATAAGTGCATATTTGCATGTCTTCCTTATTTTGGATCACCTCTTTGGAAATAAATTTGAAGATAATATGTTATGAGGATTTTATCTGAATAGAAGAGAATTCTAAGGTCTCTTCTAGATCTAAAATTACAATTTTACTTAGGGGCGTTTTCACAATAAAAAAATTGAAGGCTTTTCATATTTATAGAATCTCCAGTGTCACAAATTGTCTGATTTTTGAAGTCTGTCCATTTCCTTAAAATCTCCTTATTTAACCAGTTAAGACTAATGTCTGGGCTAAGTTGTGTTTTCCTTTTTGGGAAGGAGAATAGAAAAAGTTTTATAATATTTGAAAAGACCAGTTTTGGAAATATTTAAACCTATTCAGTTTTAGTGCTATGTGCCTATTTAGCTCTGTTTCACCCAGAGCCTCAAGTTAATACTTCCCTTGGAGAGTACATATACTCTTGACTTGTAAATCCTTCATTGTGAAGGGCATATTTAATAGGTGCTTCCGAAACACAGCTCAGCGCTCTAATCAGTAGTGAAAAAAGAAACTGCTAGTGTTTGTAAAAGCAGGGAGCATTGCTGTTCTTATACAATAGTAATGAGAAAAAATAGTGGTGAGTAGTTGTGTTTGATTTGTATAGTTTGTGTTAAAATAGAATGGGCAAACATCTCCGTGTGGATAAGCTTTTGTCTGAGTTATTTTTAAAAATTAGGACGTTTGGTCTGATAATGGCAGAGAATTTCAGAAATTGGGACTGGCCCAGAAAATTCAGAACACGGTGACCACAGCCTAAAATGACTGCTGCAGTTAGACATAGCCGCCTCCTTCAAGTGCTGAACTGCTTGAAGTATAAATTTTAAGAAGTCCTTGACTTATAAATGCTAATTCACTGCTTCCACACACACTTCATAATGGGCTGTTTTAAAATTTTAATTGAGGTCCTTAGTTTATATTTCAAAAGAATGATACATGTTATTCTGTAAATGAAATCCTGCTGATCCTCTCTCAAGTGCGTTTGATTTTTCTTGCAATAGCAGTGACTTGCACCAAGATTTCACTCCTCTTTCCTCTCAGTATATGGGACCGTGAACAGTTCATGGTGATCACCAACATTAGGGTACAGTTGGCCCTCTTTATGCATCCACGGAGTCAACTGGCCGTGGATCGTGGATGGGAAATATTTGAAAAAGTTATTCAAAGAAATGTTACACTGTTGCTGACATGCACTGTGTAGTCGGACCTACTAAGGTTGAGTCTGTGCTGACCACGAACAGACTTTTCTGACTTTTCTTGTCATCGTTTTTCCCTAAACAATACAGTATAACAATTATTTATACAGCATGTACACCTTATTAGGTAGAAGTACTCTAGAGATGATTTAAAGTATATGGAAGGATGTGTGTAGGTTATGTGCAGATACTACCCGTTTTATAGAAGGGACTTGAGTGTCCACGGATTTCAGTATGGGGGCGTTCTGGGACCCATCCCTATGGATCCTGAGGGGCCGACTGTATTTCATTAGTGCTTTAAAAAAAAGTTATATAGAAGATAGTATTGTTTTTCTTTGGGGGCTTTAAAAAGTAAATCAAATTTAATATTAATGTTTTCCATCTAATTACAGGAATCAGAAATACCATCAGAAGAGGGGTACTGTGACTTTAATAGTAGGCCAAATGAGAACTCTTATTGCTATCAACTTCTGCGACAACTAAATGAACAGAGAAAGAAAGGTATTCTTTGTGATGTCAGCATTGTGGTGAGCGGAAAAATCTTTAAAGCTCATAAGAACATCCTGGTTGCAGGCAGCCGTTTCTTTAAGACTTTATATTGCTTTTCAAACAAAGAAAGCCCTAACCAAAACAATACTACCCATTTAGATATTGCTGCAGTTCAAGGTTTTTCAGTCATCTTGGACTTCTTGTATTCTGGTAACCTGGTGCTCACAAGCCAAAATGCCATTGAAGTGATGACAGTGGCCAGCTATCTTCAAATGAGTGAAGTTGTTCAAACCTGCCGAAATTTCATTAAAGATGCCTTAAACATAAGCATTAAATCAGAAGCTCCAGAGTCTGTAGTTGTGGACTATAATAATAGAAAACCAGTTAATAGAGATGGTCTGTCTTCATCACGGGATCAAAAAATTGCCAGTTTTTGGGCAACACGGAATCTTACCAATTTGGCAAGTAATGTAAAAATCGAAAATGATGGTTGTAATGTCGACGAGGGCCAAATGGAAAACTACCAGATGAATGACAGTAGTTGGGTCCAGGATGGTTCACCTGAATTGGTTGAAAATGAATCTCAAAGTCAAACAAAAGTGTTTATTTGGAATAATATGAGCTCCCAGGGAATTCAAGAAACTGGCAAAACAAGGAGGAAAAACCAAACTACAAAGAGATTTATTTATAATATACCACCTAATAATGAAACAAATTTAGAAGATTGCTCAGTGATGCAGCCACCTGTTGCCTATCCAGAAGAAGATTTGTCATTCATTAAGGAAGAACCAGGTAAATATATATACAAAAGTATTTCAGTTTTCATTCTAATTCTGGTTTGATGTGATCCTAAAGTATACTTTTAACTTTTTTTTTTCATTATAAAAGTAATACACATAAGGAACACTAAATTTGAATACTTACCGTATAAGAAGGTGTAAACTTGTTCAAGCATATAGTTTTGGTGTCTTAGTTTTTTTCTCTAGGCATGTCTGTGTGGGTTTGTCAAAGGTTGTGTTCATCAGGCATTTGCCTCTACTGTTGTGTGGCATGTGGACTCTACTTCATGTGGAGGTCTTTGACTTTCTTGGTCTTTGGACTCTGCTCACCTTTTTTTTGCACCTAGTGCTGGAAAAGAATCTTTAGTTCGTCGTTTCTGAACATTTTTGAGACCTACTTCATATCCTTTTTCGGTAAATTAAACATGTGCAAGTGTTTTATAGAATTTTGTGAATGGTAACAGGATTATTCTAATTCGTTTAGAGCTACTGTTCTCACCATAAATCGTAGAGAAGCTGCAATATTTGAAGTTGAAAGGCCTCTGAAACCTTTTTCTGCAATATATCCCTAAAGGAATATATATATGAGTCTCAGCACATCTATCACTTTTGTAGTGTGAGTTTTTTAAAAAATGGGGTGAGGGGGCATTGTTGAGTGTAAACAGATTGAAACTTTAATTGCCTGTGTCTAACTTTTATTTGAAGAAGCAGCCCAGTGGGTTTGAGGTTTTCCTCTGCAGACCCCAGACTTGTCCACTACCAGCATATATGATTTAATGCTTGTTTTGCCTCAGAGCTCCAACTGTTCAGTGTCTTGATTTCCATGGTGGCGATCATCTGGGGATGAAGTACTTTCTGTTTAAAAATTATTGTTTTTATTTCCTTTTCCTTTTGGGAAAAAAAGGCAAAATATCATTGTAACCTTGTGAAATGGTTCCTCTGGCTTTTTCATTTTGGGTTTAGTTTTCGTTGGTAGAAATTGTGCTTGTTTGAAAATCAGCGGGCATGTGTAATGAACACTGTTTGCTGCTCTCTTTTCTCTCATAGTTACCAAGACACATCTTTAGCAGTTAACCGTGGAGGCAGTTCTTTACATTATTCAGGGGAGAGTTGTTTTTAGCAGTGCTTTATTTTGGCTTAATTTTTTAATATAAGGCCTTGAAGCAATTTTTAATTTTCTCCTGCATGGGTTAATTGTTTAATAGCATGGTGAGAACCCGATAGTTTTTTGTTTTTTTTGTCTTTAAATACATATATGTATACACGGATGATTTAAGGAATAAATAGATTTTCTGGGTAATAGCTGATGGGCAAAACTAATCAGAGGTAGCCCCATTCTTAAATTAATTCCACATATAATTGGAGTGAGTCAAAGAAAAGGAAAGCACTAATATTGACTCATAATAAATACTTTAAAAAATCACTAGCCTTTATCTTTCCAAGCACCCCTAGCTAAGGTTTTATCAATGGAGTAGGTCTATCATAAATTAATTATTGGTGATCTAATATGCTTTCAACTACTGCTTATGTCTTATAAAAGATAATTCTATTGTGTCATTGGTATCACTTTGGTATCTGAACATCGCTTTAATTCGCAGATTTGGTTTTTATATGTGCTACATTCCCGCTGTTTACAACTTTTTAGTGCCTCTAAGTCCAACTTCATTTAGTGGCAGAAAATGGGTTTTATATAAATATGAGTGTTATGGTTACGACGTAATATTACATAGAGCCAGTGGCTGGTAGATTTTTTCTGTAAGGGCCAAAGAGTGGTAAATATTTTTGGCTTTGCTGGTTAGTTACTTAACTGCCGTTGTAGCATGAAAGCATCATAGACAGTATGTAAACAAGTGAGCATGGGTGTGTTCCAGTAAAGCCAGTGCTTGGTAGTAGAGCAGTAGGTGTTAATCTTGCCTGCACATTGGCCCTGTGCTTGAGTCTCTCTGTTACGGATTCCAATATAATTGGTCTGGGATGTGGCCTCATTGGTGAGGTTTTTCTAAGCTCTACAGGTGATTATACTGTGCGCCAAAGTTGAGATACACTGATGTCAAGGCAAGAATCCAAATAGAGTTGGGGTTTGAAAATGAGCTCTTCCATTTACTACTATGTGACCCCATGATGAAATTAAATTCACTCTTGCCCTCAGTTTCTGCTTAAAAATATGGAACATGAAAGGATTATTATGAAAATTACGTGATAAAGATAAAAGCAAAACAACTATCATGGCCATCTTAATCCTCCCTTAAAGTTGGGAGACTATTGAGGTTGTTCAAAATCAGCTTTCCAGTAGAGTGTACTTTCTACCAAATTCTAGACAAAAATCTTACAGCTTCAGCTTTACCTTTTGGTTTGAAGACCTTTTAAAGCAGCCTATTCCAGTATAGGATGATAGGATGACTATGATTATTGAGAAGTTATTTTATATTGCGCCAAAATTTGCTTCTTTTTAACTTCCTGATTCTGCCATCTTGGGTAGTATAATCTGAATCTAACCTGTACTCTCTCTAATGAATCTACCTGGTAACCTTTCAGATATTAGGCATTTTTTAAAGTCTCCTTTTTCCAGGCTAAGTGCTATACCTCCCACCATGTGAATTCTTTCCCTCATAGACATGGCTTGTTTCACCCTGAAATTTTGGCGGACAGAATTGACTACAACTCTCCAGGCAAGTTGTGACCAATATAGAACACAGTGGATCTGTTTACCAAGGTTAAGGCCTTTCTCAAGGTCATTCAGCTAGTAAATAATAGAGGCAGGTTTCATGTTTTGTTGGGACTGTCTCATATTTAAAACCTTGCAGTTAATAAACCAGTAGACCCAATCTTTTAAAAACTGAGTCCCTTTTAAAATGTCAAACATTTTTATAAACCCCACATCACTGATTATATTTTGTTTATTGAGGAAATAATGAAATAATGAAAATTTTTAGTGAAGTGCTTTGAAATGAATGTAAAGTTCTATACCTAAACGTGTGGAGCGTTATCATGAATTTGTCACTTAGTCTCCAAGCAGTGCTCGGCATATTTGGATTTGTGGATTCCTTGTAGGAACTGTGACTTCCCTAGATTCTTAAGCCTACAGTTTGTAAACCACAGCTCTTTTTGCCACATAATGTTGAATCCGGTGTTTGGGCGCCTCAAAGAGATGTAAGATATTGAGATAAGAAGATGTACCCACAAATATCAGGGATTTTATTCAGATGGTTTTTTTTTTGTTTTTTTTTTAATCTTAAACTTAGCGTGTCTGTTATTTGACTCACTACTGAGATTCGCTTGGAATCATTTTTGATGTATTAGGATACTTGAAAGTAGAATTCAAGAAAGGTTAGAAACTTCTGTCCTCTTTACTGTTTTATTGGGGTTTATAATTAAAACCATCAGGAAAAACTAAATTCTGGGTAATAAAATAGGAAAAAAAAGTGTTGGTTGCTCTGATAATATAAAAATTTCAAATCTTTGTCTTGCTGATTTATAACCAGAAAACATTTCAGGCAAATAAAGTAGGGAAAAAATGTAAGAATAGGAATTAAATTATAGGAATAATTTATGCCTAAATTTTTTTCAAAGTATTCACATGTCACTTTCGATCACAAATCAGATATGAATCCCATTTTTGGTCTCTTGATGCTCTGGGCTAATAGAACATGTTTTTCTGAGTCTAGATTTTATATTGATGCCAGTCACACCAGCAAGTTGCACCCATTATAAATAATATGCTCTGCATGTATGCATACATTTTATTTTGAAATGACCCAGCGAGAAAAATTAACAAAATGCAAATAAAATTTAAGTTCATTGTGCTAGTCAAGGGCGTTAATATGGTTGCCCTAATTAAGCTTTTAATTGGCTCTAAGAACAGGCATACCTTGAAAATATTGTGGGTTGGATTCCAAAGTACTTCAAAAAAGCAAGTCCTAATGTCTCCATAGTTTTGCCTTTTCTAAAATGTCATATAGTCTAAGCTTCTTTTATAAGGAGAAACATAACAATTTTCTGGTACTTAGTTCCAAAAGGAATTTCTCCAGTGTGGTTCTATATAGTTGACACCAAGTAGTATAATGGACAATTTCCTCACAAACATTCTCTAGTAAATGCAGCAGTAAATTATATGATCGATTTTTATCTTTAATAAAAGCTGATATAATTCTGTACTGATGATTGAATTTTTCTTAATGCCATACAGATATTCACATGCAGAGTGGTTTGATCAAAGGATTATAGAGTTAATCTAAAAGTTCCTTTCTCTCATCTATATCTCTGATGGAAAAAGAGCTTTATTGTATTTGTAAATTTTTATTAATCCTTACAAATAGAGTTGAAATCAGGTTTGTTTTACAATTTCAATTTTTATAATTGCCTTTTGGCTAGAAAGCATATAACTTGAGTATTTAATAAACAGCTTTGAGAAAAGAATGTTCATACTAAATATCTTTAAGATAGCCTGATGAGTCACATTTAAAACAATGAGTTCTTCTAATTACAGTAAACTCTTTAATTAGTTATCTACTAACCAGCACTTTTACCCTTCTGTGTTTTGGGTGGTAATTGATATTTGGCATTACTTTCATATGTTGCAGAATCTTGAAATGCTTTCTAAGTGATTGAATTTTTTTAACTATTACACATTTTACTATTTTGATAACTGGGCATCTGATTAAGACTTCTAATATTTTGACTGCCATATATGTCTACTATATGAACTATTTTAAAATATGTTTAAAAACCATGGAGCTTGGGCTTTGGACTCAGTTCTGCCACTTAACTAGCCTTGAGTGTATCCCCCATAATGTCTCATGAGATGGAAAGAGGGAAAACATTATAATTCTGAAATCTCGAAAACTGTAAAAACTACCCAAAGCGTGTTCTCAGTCATTTTGATAACAAACCGGATAACTCAGTTGCCATCAAAAACACCTATTTATATTCTTTACACTATTTCCTTAGATGTGAACATCTATATGTTTTGTTGCAGAAATAACTTCTGATTACAGCCCAGACTCCACCGGGAGT